TTGTTCCTCATACTAGGACTGCAAGAATACTCTTGGAGATACACAAATGAAACTTCAAGTTTCCTTTTATTTTGATATCAATGTAACACAAGCTTAAAAAGGTACATTCTGGGGTGTCTGGGTGGCTCAGTCGGTTGAGCTTCTGACTTCGGCTCAGGTCATGATCTCACAGTTCGTGAGTTCGAACCCCACGTCGGGCTCTGTGCTGACAGCTAGGAGCCTGGAGCCTGCTTTGGATTCTGTGTCTCCCTCTCTCTCTCTGACCCTCTCCCATTCATGCTCTGTCTCTGTCTCAAAAATAAATAAATATTAAAAAAAAAATTAAAAAAAAAAAGGTACATTCTGGATCATCCAAAAGACTACACTAAAAAAGATAATTGCCATCTATTTCAGTGTGAAAAGTTAGCACCTTTATTTACAACTATACTGAGACTCAGCAATAATAAAAAGACACCATTTGATTTTTAATCCACTTGGTCTCTAACACTAAACCTGCAACTCTAGAGTTCAGGAAGCTTTTTTGTTGTCAGTTGATGTTAAATAGATTATGTACCTTACTCAAGAATAAAAAACACTGTCATATTCAATTTATAAGTGGGAAATCCCAGCAGAAATAATAGAATTAATGTGCATGACTGATCTGTAACCTGATAAATATGGCTTGACTACTATATTCTTTGAATGAGCTATAAACACAAGATACAAGTCAGGTTATAAGAGAACTGTTCCAATTTAAAAAGCCAGTTTATCTAAATAGAAAAATATAACCAAATTTAAAGTAAGGTGATTTTTCATGCTTTCACAAAGCTTTTTCTTCCCATAAATACTTCATAAATTGATATTCATAAATATTTAAGAAAGATCCAAACTTACTGTTTATTTATTTTATTTTGTTTATAGCACTCTTCAAAAAAATATCTTCCATTTAGTTAAGTAACATCGTGGTCTAATTATCAGTTGATAGATTTAGCACAACTAATTCATCTTTATTTACATATTAGACAACAATACAAATAACCCTACATACAGAATATTCAGAAACAACAAACTAAAAATATACAATAGGCATAAAATGTTAAATCAAATTTGATATATAATTATAAAATCATTTAAGAAATTAAATCTATTTTTATTAATTTAATAGCAACCATGGCTTTTTAATTCTTCACAGAGGCTTTGTGTTGGTAGTTTTATATCTGAAATTGTTCTAAGTTGTTTTGAATTTCAATTATTTTTTTTTAACTTTTTTTTTTTTTTTTTTTTGGGACAGAGAGAGACAGAGCATGAATGGGGGAGGGGCAGAGAGAGAGGGAGACACAGAATCCGAAACAGGCTCCAGGCTCTGAGCCATCAGCCCAGAGCCCCACGCGGGGCTCGAACCCACAGACCACGAGATCGTGACCTGGCTGAAGTCGGACGCTTAACCAACTGCGCCACCCAGGCGCCCCTCAATTATATTTTAAAATACACTGTGCTATCAAATCTAACCGATTGCAGAACTCATTCTTCATATATATATTACACACACATATTCTATCAAACAGTCTCTGGGGATTAAATATGAGTAAGATTATCACCTACCTTTCAAATTACACCTTTTGTTACCTAATCATGATTGAGCCATGAAAAGACTTCCAAGTGACTATATGCCATTATCATTAGAGAATTATAATAAAATACCAAAACAAAATCATAACAAAACATGGTAATACTTTCTGGTAAAAACTGCTCATAATTTTCATTACAAGAACTTATGGAATTATTAATATGTTTCAGTAATATTTTTTCCTAACTTTTACTAAACATAAGATTATAACATTCTATATGTACAACTGGATCATTAAAAATTATAAATTACACCAGTATAGAGATACATATGTTCACTTTATTAAGCCATTGCTTATTAATAAAATGTCATAATTCAAATTGTTGTGTTATCTTTTTGAATATATGAGCCAACAATCAAAGAAAGTCCTTAGGAGGAAAGTATGTGACGAAAATGGGTCTTTATGACAATATCCTTTTAAAAAAAAAAAAAAAACAAAGCCAGTTCTCCAAACTGACATAATTAATAATTATTACCTATATACACAATAATTTTTTTCTCAAAATTTAAAGATTTTTTTTAATGTTTATTTATTTTTGAGAGAGAGAGAGAGACAGAGCACAAGTAGGGGAGGGGCAGAGACAGAGAGACACAGAATCCCAAGAAGGCTCCAGGCTCTGAGCTGTCAGCACAGAGTCTGATGCAGAGCTCAAACTCACCGACCTGGGCCAAAGTCCTCTGCTTAACCAACTGAGACACCCAGGTGCCCCAGTTTTCCCCAAAATTTATTAAATGAATTTCTGATTAAAATTATCATAAAGATAAGTATCCCTCACTGTTTTATCAGATTTAGAATAAACTGTTCTGTGTCAAGATATTGGCCTCGAGAATAAAATAACACCTAGTGATTTGAAGGAAAACGCTCATAAGTCTGTGAGAATAATGATTCAACTATTTAAAATGTTTTCTTTTCCATGTACAAAAATACACAAGTTAAATGTAAATATGAATAGTGATTTATTACTATTACTGGTTACTATTTATTACTGATACATTAAATGTTTAAAAGAAAGATATGAATTCTATAATATATTATGATTTAACACTTCATTCTGATGTATTCCACATATACAAATACCTTTGAAGCCACTGAATACATTTTTCTTTTATTTTACTTTGAAAAGAAGCACAAATTGAAGCATATTTACACTGAATTTTTAAAAGGTATTATTTCATATGCAAACAGTGCCATCTTCTGGCAGCTGAAACTATGTGTATTGACATAAAATTCATTATGGATTGTAACTGCCATTTTCTTGACAAGTTATGTGTATAGCTTATTGAATAAAAACCTTTAATCTAAAATCAGTTGGTTTTTGTAAAAATAACCTTTAAAAACAAGAGTATTAATTAGCATGTCTTCAAACTGATAAAATTTTAAAAAAAGACTAAGAACCCTAGATTCTACCACTCAATCTTCTAACTAGATATTGAATCTTAGACTAACCATGTAGCCACTCAGGACCTCAGTTTCCTCAACTAGTAGATTGTTTAAATCATCAAATTACTTTCAGTTTAAGGTTCCATTTGATTCTAGCTTTAGAAATGTTTATTTCTGGTTTTAGCAGTCTAATATGGACTATAGGCCTGTTTATGACACACTTTTTCATAGGTATCTCTTTTATTAACATGTGTTTGGTTATGCTCTCTGCTTGAATTTTCTTCAGAAATAAATCTTAAGTTATGTTTATACTTCTCACTGTCCAAATAGCTTTCCTCTAAACATCAGAAAGACTTCATTGAATTGTAAATAAAACTAAACTCAGGTAACTGAAAATAAGGGTTTTTTTTTTAAGTTTATTTATTTTGAGAGAAAGAGAGGGAGCATGTGTGTGCCAGAGAAAGAGAGGGGGCACTAGACAGAGAGTGGGGGAAAGGCAGAGTGAGAGGGGGAGAGAGAATCACAAGTAGTCTCCTTGCTGTCAGCACTGAGCCCTACATAGGGCTGGATCTCATGAACTGTGACATCATGACCTGAGCTGAAATCAAGAGTCAGACACTTAACCAACTGAGCCACCCAGGCACCTCCCAAAAGCAAGTTTTTAAAAAACATTCTGTAAAGATAAGATGGTTTAAATAAAATAGGTCAATATCAAACAAAACACTCAAAAATTAATAGGGGGACTCTTGGGTGGCTCAGTGGGGTAAGTGTCTGACTCTTAGTTTCTGCTCAGGTCATGATCTCACGGTTTTTGGAGTTCCAGCCCCACAGCTGGCTCACACTGAGTGTGGAGCCAGCTTTGGATTCTCTGTCTCCCTCTCTCTCTCCCCCTCCCCCACTTATGCTGTCTGTCTCTCTCCAAATAAATAAACTTTTTTATAAAACTATTTTTATCATTTATTCATTTTTGAGAGACAGAGACAGAATGTGAGCAGGGGAGGAGCTAAGAGAGAGAGGGAGACAGAGAATCCAAAGCCATGGGATCATACCTGTGCCAAAGTTGGACGCCTAACCGACAGAACCACCCAGGCATCCCCAAAATAAATAATTTTTTTAAAAAGTTAAAAAAAATTAATAGGAAATAAATCTCTCCAAAGCTTCTAGAATCTTAAGTGTTATTGTGTTAAATAAATAGAATAGGCTCAGAGTTTGGGCAGCTCTTCCTAATATCTCCATAGATTTGACGAACACTATCCTGTTGGATTTATCTATACTCCCAATTCTTGCCTCCAAATACCTTGCTCTGATATAGATCTTCTTATTCAAACTTTTACACATCCATCTAGTCCAGGGTCTCAACTTCCTAGGCCTGCATTACTAAAATATCCATTGTGGTCTACTGTTTTTCAAAAAGTAACATAAGGATCATTTGGGATGCTGATTAACATATGTCATCTCCTAGAGCCCATAGAGTAGACTGTCCAAAAGAAATCTAACATGAGTCACACATGTAATTTTAAATGTTCTTGTAGTCAGATTAAAAAGCTAAAATGAAACAAGTGAAATTAATCCAATGCATGTAAAAATATCATTTCAATATGTAATCAATTGAAAAACATAATATTTTACATTCTTTTTCTTTTATACTAAGTCTTTGAAATCAGGTATTTTTATACTTATAGCATATCTCAATTTGGATAAGCACACTTCAAGTGCCTAAGAGCCATCTGTGGCTAGTGGTTATGGTATTGGACTGCATTAGATTTGGAGAAGGTGGAATAAAAGCCAGGAACGTACATATAGCAAAATACCAAAGTGATTCTTTCACACTCTCAAGTATGAGGGCCACCACTCTAGACTGTCCTGTACATAATCCATTCTACAACCACTACTGAAATTTACACCTGAGAAATGCCCCTTTAATTATGTCAGTTCTAAGAAACTACATATCCCTGGTACCTCCAATTTAATCAACTCATGTGGATATTCAAATCTCCCAAAATGTGGCCTCACCTCATTCATCCAATCGGTTCTCCAATTTGAAAATGTCTTGGGCTCTTCCATGAAATTTTCCTAGGGAAATATTAAAATGATCATTCAATCAACAAATATTGATGAAGTACCCATAAAATGTCAACATGGATCCTCCATGGTAAAAGGGAAGATGTAACACAAATCGTTACATAATTATTACAATTCCACTGTTTTCATTGTAACACTGAAAGCAGTGCTCTGAAATAGTGCTAATGAGATGCTAATATAGAGCAGGACCTTACAGAGAGGTCAAAGAAAATTTCTAGAATACAGTTACATTTAAATAAAAAAATAATATAAATATAATTAGAAGTCTGAACAGATAGAAATTTCTAGGCAGAGAAAAGCACATTATGAAAAGCCCTGAGGTGGAAAAGTGACTAACAGAAGAGGCAGATTGGGAAAATAATCTGAAAAGGGGCTGCTGAGTTAGGCAGAAGGCTGATAAGGCCAAATTTATGAGACTTCAATCTGTCCCGTCCCTTCCCTTCCCTTCCCTCCCCTTCCCTTCTTTCTTTCATTTATTTAGAGACAGGGGAGAGAGAGAGAGGTGGTGGGGAGGAGCAGAAGTTAAGGGAGAAGAGAGAATCTTGTGACTGTGAGATCATGACCTGAGCTGAAATCAAGAGTCGGACCAACTACCACAACTGCCACGCGGGTGCCGCCTTTATTTTTTCAACTATGCATTTTTAAACAAAACTAGATTACAAAGTCCTCAAAAAGTACAGACCTGGCCTTTTTTCTTTTTGGAAAGAGAGACACAGCGTGAGCCAGGGAAGGGAGAAAAAGCAAGGGAGACAGAGAATCTGAAACAGGCTCCAGGCTGTCAGTGCAGAGCCTGTCTTAGGGCTTGAATCCATGAGCCGTGAGATCATGACTTGAGGCGAAGTAGGACGTTCAAAGAACTGAGCCACCCAGTGCCCCACAGACTTTACCTTCAAAGGTTAATTATTTCTTACATCTCTTCATAGAGCACAAAAAACGTATTTAATAAATACTTCTATACATGGAAAACATACATTTTTCTAGCCATTTGAATTCTGGAATCTCCAAAATTATACCAACAATTATTTGCATCTTCAGATAATTTAAAAACTATATTACTATGAAACTGAAGGAAGTCTTACCTGAAGTGCTGAGTATTAATATAAAATTCCTTAGAAAGACAGACAATTTTTATTCGTAGTAAGGTGGGCATCATGCTCTACCAGTCTTATCCCAGAATTCTGACTCTAAGTTCCTGGTGGAAAGAGTGAAAAGTTGGTGATTTAAACACACAGATGAATCCTTAAAAGGGATCTCCATGAAGTCAGAGACTGTAAGTATGAGAAAGCTTATAGAAGAGCTATTTGGCAAAAGCCTCTGGCCAACAACTAGCAAAACAAAGAGAACCTCAGACTAAGAAACACAAGGACATTAATTCTGCTAACAGCCAGGGGCTTGGAAGAGAAACCCAGATCTTCAATGAGATTCCACTTGCAGACGCCTTTACTTCAACAGTGTGAGACCCTTAAGCAGAGCACTCTGCTATACCATACCAACTCCGGACCTACACGACTACGATAACAAATGGGTGATATTTTAAACCATTAATTTGTAGTAATTTGTTACAGAACAATAGAAAAGCAACACACTCAGGCACTTCTCATATAATTAAGTAGCAAAGTATGTCTGGAACAAAGTTTTTGAGACTTCATTTTACAAATAATTTTGCTAGCTGCTTCAAGGCGGATAAAATTTTTGCGAAAATTGTTTCACAATTGACACGAACATTAATTGTGCACTCTCTGAAATATTTCTCATCCTAATGTAAAGTCATTGAATTTGTGAGTCAAAATTCCCCTGAAGGTTCTTCAGTGTAGATGGGCCTTTTTGGTGCAATGAACTTACTCCTCACCACCTTGCCCGTGGGTGCAAAGTGCGCGGGATGGACGGAGCACAAGCTAGACTGCCAGATGCAGCCTCCAGCCGCTCCTGACCGCCTTACAGTGAGGCCGGGTGGAAGTAGGCTGAGCCCAGGACAGACATAGACACAGGACAAAAAAGGTTGCGGCTCATCCCTTTAACCCTAACCTAATTTCTCGGGAAAAGCCGCTCTCTCATACAGTAATCGGGCTCTCCAAGGCCGTGGCTTGGCTACCGCGCACACGGTTTCTTTATGAACTGCCAAAGCGTCTCGCAAAAGTTTCAAGCACCACTAGGGATCACTGGTGCCACTTAAGGTGCAGCTGGCGAACGGTTCATATCGCTTTGAAAATATCTATGAAACTCAGAAAAATTGTGCTCCCTGGCAGGCCTAAGGAGTGGCAACTAAAACCATATCGCCTGCCTCCTTCCTCGACGCAGTCTAGATTCCCACAACTAGAGGAGCCAGACCGGGACACTCCAGACCCGGACTACCCGGAAATGCGTGACCACGCCTACCTACTGCGCCTGCGCGAGGAAACAGCTCAGGCGAGCGCAGACAGGCCCGACCCCGCCCCGTGGGGCGGGACCTAGAGGTTTGTCACGCCTGCGCAAAGGACCCGACGGCATGCTGCGTCGTTACTTTTGAAACGAGTGGCGGGGAAGTGTTGTGGAAGTCCCTGCTGTAGCTGTCTGCCGGGTGGAAGCGCGGTCCTTCGCTGTAGGCCTGGCAATGGCGCTGCAGCTCTCCCGGGAGCAAGGCATCACCCTGCGCGGCAGCGCCGAAATCGTGGCTGAGTTCTTCTGTAAGTCTTCCTCGCGCAGGCCGGAGGGCGGGAGAACTGAGGCCAGGCCGCCCGGTAGGCCCACGGCTCGGCCACGGAGGCTGGGTAAGCGCGGGGGCGAGGTTGCGGGGGTGCCGAGAGGCCCGGAATTCAAGCCCTCTCTGCCCCAGCCTCCTGCCCGGCTAGAGAATCTAGGAGGAGGCGCATGCAGGCGCCGTTTCCGGATGCGTTGCTAATGGAGCTGGAGGCCTAGGTACTGCTGAACCGAGGCCTGTCTCTTGTCGTAGCCCCATCACCTGCCGAATTGCTTTAAACTGCTGATCATACGCACTTCCTCACCTGCCCCTCCCACCCCACCACCACCCAGGTCTCAGCGACTTGAGACGGAACACGACCGGGGTGGAGACCGTGTATGTTTTTAAGAACCCGATCTTCACGCTTTGATTTTGGTGTTGGGGTGATGAACTAGACTTTAGGAGGCTCGCTGTTCTGGACCAGGCCACTTGTACCTTCTGATAGAAACCGGCAGGATTTGTGAGGGGAAAAGGAAAAAGAAAAGAGAGGGTTGCCTGGAGCATTGGACCAGTAAAATCAGTTGCTAACTCAGACGCAAAAGCCGATCTTGACATCCTCTAGCCCGAATTTGGACTTGGATTACAGTGAGCTGAAATTTGACGGTAGTAGATTAATATAGTTTGGCGTTTTTTTATTGCCACATAAGTGCAGGTATCGCGTTCTTTTACTAAGAAGCAAGATTTTAAGGATTTTTAATTCCACTTTTTACCTATTCTAATTTCAGCGACACACCCATAAACACGTGTCTAGGCATTTACAGTTTTATACCATTAATGAAATCATAGCCACAGCTAAATATGTTTTATTTTACGGAGTTACAAAGTGATAATAACTTTTCTTTAACATTCCTTTTGTTTTCAGCATTTGGTATCAACAGCATTTTATATCAGCGTGGCATATATCCATCTGAAACCTTTACTAGAGTGCAGAAATATGGACTCACCTTGCTTGTAACAACTGATCCTGAGCTCATAAAATACCTAAATAATGTGGTGGAACAACTAAAAGGTATTTAACTGTTGGAAACAATTTTGAGTTTTGCAGGCCTTCTATGACCCTTCCTTCCGGGCATCTTGGTGGTCGTTTTTTCGCTCTGTATATAAAAGTGTAAAACACTACAATCTCAAATATAATGACTCTCAATTGGAAGAAAGCAAAAATATATAAATTGAAAGAAATTCCACTTTTACCCTACATTTTGAGTGAGTTGAATATTTTGATGTTAGGTATCTGATACAGCTTCACAAAACAATCTCCATCAAGTCCCTTAGAAATGATTTTTGCAGTTCATGTGGCCAGATGGAACAAATTAGAATTTAATGTACTTATGATGGTGTTCATTGTCTGAGAAAAATCCACTGTATTTTTAACACGATATATTTTCTGTAGCTGCCTGGAGTTTAAAGCCATCGTTATGTTAGAATAAAGGAAAATAAAATTAGATCCAACCTGGGAATTAAACTTAAAAAAGTACAACTACTAAGTAATAGGACACCCAGTAGAAGTTTCTTATTTTTACCTATTTCCATTTGTTTTTGTTTTTGTTTTTAAATCCTGGGACGCCTGGGGGGCTCAGTTGGTTGAGCATCCGACTTGGGCTCAGTTCATGATCTCAGGGCTCCTGAGTTTGAGCCCTGCAATGGGCTCTGCTGTCAGCACAGAACCCACTACAGATCCTCTGACTCTTGTCTTTCTCTCTTTCAAAAATAAATAAACATTAAAAAAAAAAAAAAAATCCTGCCTGTAAGTCAGTAAGCCTTTTCTATCTGAACAATCATTGTTTTTCCTTAGCTCAAGAAGTTACTGTATTGGATCACAATACTTATTCTCCATCTATTCCTTTTTTTTTTTTTTTTATCTTGTTTTTCTCCACTTAGGATTCTCATTTCTATTTTTTCTGTGTTGTAAGATGTTTCTCCCTACCTCCCCATTTGACCTCCCAAAATAATAGTTCCAAAAAACACTGCAGTTAGTCACCTATTTTTTTCTTTTTAATTCATAAGCCATCTATGTTTTTTCAAGTAGCTTTATTTTTAAAATTACATTAATTGTGGGGAGCCTGGGTGGCTCAGTAGGTTAAGTGTCCCACTTCTGCTAAGGTCATGATATCATGGCTTGTAAGTTCAAGCCTGCATCAGGCTCTGTGATGACAGCTCAGAGCCTGGAGCCTGCTTCAGATTCTGTCTTCATCTCTCTGCCCCTCCCCTGCTTGCGCAGTGTTTCTGTTTCTCAAATATAAACAAACATTAAAAATTTTTTAAAAATAGCATTAATTATATTTCTATTGCCTTTAGAACTAAATCATCTGTAATCCTGTATTAGGGCTGCCCTCAGATTATTTAGCCTGAAACCTCTAAGTAAGTATGAATCTATGTCATCTTAATTTGATAGAGAAGCAAGCCTGGCCTAAGCTAATGGTTTTGGGTTTTCTCCTTTAAGATTATGCTCATGACATTTCACCTCAGATGTAGGTAGACCTTTCTATTTAACTTTTCCCATTTATTTTAGTTAACATGGAGGAATTGTTCTTAGAGGCAAATTGTTCTGTCTATTTGAACCCCATCCCTCTTGCCTTCTTAAGGACTTTACCCTATTTCTTCTGTGATATTTTTGACTCCTTTGTTTTGAGTTACTTTCATTGGTTTAGTCAGTCTTTAGTTTTAAAAGAAAATAATTCCACCTACTCCACATCTTTAACTTACTAACCAGTCTCCTTTTCAGAACTAAATTGATAAAAAGTTGTTGATATATGCCAAGGGGTCAGCAATGGTGCCAGGCCATATCTAGCAAGTGGCCTATTTTTGTACAGCCTACAAAGAATATTTTCAAATTTGTAAAGGGTTGTTTTTTAAAAGAGTATGCAACAGAGACCTAGGTGGCCCACATGCCCTCGATACTACTAAATTGTTTTGTCTCTTAAAAAACAACAACAAACTGCTGATTCCTGAGTATACTGCCCCAATATCTAAGATTAATTCAGGGCTCATTCTGAGGCCTTCTCATTATAACCTCTAGATCTCTGACATACATAGATAGCTTCACTAATCTTTGTGTAGTTGACTCACAAACGTACATCTAGCCCAACTCTCCTAACTCTGTGCTCATATATTAAATGAGTCCCTTGATATCTTCATGTGACTATCCCAGTGATATTTCAAACTCAGCATATGAAAAATGGGGCTCCTGGCTGGCTCAGTCAGTGGAGCATGGGACTCTTGATCTTGGGGTTATCTCAGTGAATGTATCAGTAATCCAACTAGTGATAAAAACCAGAAACTTAGGAGGTATCCCTGAGTCTTTCCTCTTCCTTACTCTCAAGTATTCAATAAATCGTAACAACTTTAACCATGAAATCTCTTGAATGTATCTACTGATCCATCTCTACCAGTTTATCCTTCTATAAGCCTTCATTACTTCTTACTTGAATTACTAATTAATTTTAGTGACCCTAGATCCCCTCTTTACCTCCAGTCTACTTTCCACTTCACCGCCAGAAGGATAGTTTTGAAATATAAATTTAATTACATCACACCCTCCTTCAAACACAATAATGACTTCCCTCATTCTTGAGATATAACTTCTTTAATTTGGCCCATGTGGCCTTGAATGGTTTGACCCCTATGTGTCCTGCTAAACTTGCCTTCGTTCTCCCTGTAACTGCAGTTGTATTGGCTTTTTTTAAGTCCTCTAGTCAGATGCTCTTCCCTTTTTAATATTTAAGACCTCTACCCTTTTCTGTATATTTTTGCATATTTAATAGTATTTATTCTTAGAACTAAACTCAAATGAGAACTCCCTGAGTGAACCCAATTTTCCTGTATTCACTCTCTGCATCAAATACCGCACCTTCATAGCATTCATCACAATTATAATCTTACATTTATTGGCGCAATGGTTAGATTAATCCTCCACTCCTACATTTTACCTTAGATTAGGATGGAAGTACTGCATGTTCACTACTCTGTTCTCAGCACTCAGTACTGTATCTGGTACAAATACGGAGAATTCAAAAACAGGAGCTAGGTTATTGTGGGGCAAGTTTCCTGTACAGGTTGGAGGAGTTCCAAAATACTAGGGGTAGGAATTTGCAGACAATAGGAAGTGAGACCTGAGAAGAGA